CTCCGCAATCCCACTTTTCTGTCTTTTCCACTAGGCAATCACTGTCCTGAAATTGGTTCATTTTCTTCTGTCCATGTCTTATACCTTTACTATATTGAATGTATCTATATAAATTTTATGTCATGATTTTTCCCATTTAATTGAAAGCATTTTCATAAAAGCTTATCCCTCTGTCAGACACTTTGCTTAAAAATTCTTTGTGTTGCGATAATATACCATTAAATATCAGTATTTACTTAAAGTTTCCCTAGTATTAGATATTTAGGTTTCATTTATTTTCTTTTACCAATAACACTGGTGAAACCTTTTGTTCTTACATTCTGGTATACATCTTTGATGATTTTTTTCAGGCAGGATTGATTGGCATTAAAGGATAGAAACTTTTAAAGTAATTCATAATTATTATAAAAATAATAATTGAAGACATCTGTAAATATGAAAGAAAAAAATGTCTGTATGCCACCATTAAAAGATTATCACTGCTAACGGGTTTATCTTCTTCTAGACATATTCCTTCCATAAAGCATACTTCAATCCCCTCCTTTCCCCTGACACACACTGTACTTGGCAATATACTGTTTATTAAGATTTACATTAACATTAAATGATCCCATTTCCTCAATTCATTTCATATTCTCTGGGAAACATGATTTTCAGTGTCTGTATAATCCTACCATGTGAAGTAGCATAATTCATTTAGCCATTCTCCTATTTTGGGGCACTTAAATTACTTCATTTTGAACTGTATTAGACAGCAGTGAGTATTCTTATAGAGAAACTTTGTGCTCCTTACTTAATCGGTTTCTTAAATGAGAGTCCTGGAAATAAAAATTACTAAATTAAGAATAACTATATTAAAGACACTTAATACATATTGTCATTGCTCTCCAGAAATACCTGTTCTCTTGAGTGTATAACCCACAAAATATATTTGCTGAAATTATCTTCTGCTAATTAGATACAGAAAACACTTTCCATTATTTTTTTTTTCATTTTGACTGATTAAAATTGACTTTTAAAAAATTGCTACTTAGATTCATTCAGATTTTATTTTTTATAACTTTTGTGTGCTTAGGCAATCTTTAAAAAGTTGGGGTTGGGGCTTCCCCGGTGGCGCAGTGGTTGAGAATATGCCTGCCAATGCAGGGGACATGGGTTCGAGCCCTGGTCTGGGAAGATCCCACATGCCGCGGAGCAACTAGGCCCGTGAGCCACAACTACTGAGCTTGTGCGTCCGGAGCCTGTGCTCCGCAACGGGAGAGGCCGCGACAGTGAAAGGCTCGCGCACCGAGATGAAGAGTGGCCCCCGCTCGCCGCAACTAGAGAAAGCCCTCGCACAGAAACGAAGACCCAACACAACAAAAATAAATAAATTTTTAAAAAGCAGTTTCTTAAAAAAAAAAAAAAAGTTGGGGTTATTTTGACCAAAATCTGCTTAAAGTTAAAAAAAGACAATAAATCTGTGTTTAGCATCACTGGGCTATAGCTATGGCTTTTGTCGATTGTTAACAAAGTTTGGTTCAATTTTCAGGTACACATGGCACAAAATAAAGTGGAAAATTGATGACCATCTAGTGACTTTTAACTTTTTAAACCTTCATAGTTGAACCTCTCCCCAAAATATTCCATTGGGAATTTTCTATTAAAGTACTTAATAAAATTAGACTTTTAAGAATAAAGCTATTGGTCAGATAATCAGAAACCATTTGAATAATCTGTTGTTAAATTCTAAAATAAACAGCTACAAAGGAACCACAAAATTTTCTTGGAATTTTCCTTTCTCTATCAGTCTGTATGCTGGTTTTAATTACTTAAGGTCAACATGTTTTCTCTAGGTGAGAATCCTGTGAGAAAATCATTTATTGACAGTGGCAAGTTGTCCCATTTACGAAAATCTGTAATTGTCATTTGACCTAGGTTGACTGGAATGACCTTTGTTTTTACAAGCAAAGAAATTGTTTTCAATCCATTAGCCATGTTGTTAGGTCTCACTTAGATGACAAAAATAATAATGTAATTTGACTCAAATTCTGGATGGATTAAATAATAAAAACATATAAAGTAATAACAAAATAAGAAAATATAGGCATCTATTTGATCTTGCAGAAGTACTGTACCTCTAAACGTAAAATGAAGAAATCACAAAAGGAAATAGTTGAGTACATAAAAATGACAATCTTCTGCAGAAAAGGTCACCAGAAACAAAATTAAAAGGAAGACTACAAACTGAGAAGAGTATTTGTGACATATATGGTAAGCAAAGGTGTAATATATAAAACTTACAAAGATTGCTTACAAATCAATAAAAAAAGATTGAAATTCAATAGAAAAATGGTCATAGAGTGCCAGTGAGAAATTCACACACACTGACAAGAGAAGGAAATATATAGCCAGTAAATATATATGAAAAATTATTCAGTATTACGGAAAGCAGCTCTTTTGCCCCTTTCCTGTTTGTCCATTCCTGTTCCTCTCTAACCCTAAAAGAACATAATTAGAGAAATGACATCACTAGGCAATTTAACTTTACTCCTGACTTATGTTCTACTGAATGCACACCATGCCTTGGCTAACCTGCTGATTCTTTTCCTAGGTTAAAAGTAGTAAGAATGAAGAATTAAGTAGTTAATGACCAGCTCTCTACCCACAGCAGCCCCCTTTGCAATCCTGTAGGCAGATCACATGGGCAAGATAATTTCTGAAGAAAGATACTGAGGAGTCAGCCAGTCTGCACACAGTGGAGAATGATGAAGAATCTAACCTCGTGCCTCGGTGATTCACTGAGATTCTTTCCCTCTTTTCCCTTTAAAAACTCTCATGGCTGAGCAGAACCTGGGGAGTTGGTTCTGGGAAACGAGTCCACCTTCTCTCCAGATTGCTGGCCTTCTGATTAAAGCAACCTTTCCTTTCTACCAACACTTGCCTCTCCAGTACTGGATTTTGAGCAGCGAGCAGCTGAACCTGAGTTCAGTAACATTACTAATTATAAAAATGACTATACATTTAAAAAATATTAATACACTAGCATTTTTCTCTTCTTCCAAAATGGCAAATATCTGAAGTATTATAATCTAGAATGCTGTGAAATAAGTACTCATAAACTGCTGGTAACAACTGACACAAAAATTTTTTAAGGAATTTTTGCACTATTCATCAAAAACTTAAAAAATGCACATGCTATGTAATCCAATGATTTCAATTCTGAAAGGCATCATAGAAAATTAAAAGATGTGTGCACAGATTATGTACTAGGGCATTCAGTCTAGAATTATTAATAACATCAAATACTTGAGAAACAGTGCCTAATATCCAAAAGTAAATTACAAATAATCCAAACAGTAGAATATATTATATGGTTACTTAAGTTGTGCTGTCAGAGACTTTAATGACTTGAGAAAATATTAATGTTAAGGAAAAAATAAAAGCAGGTTACAAACGATAATTCCCGTTTTGCAGTACACACACAAACACCAGGAAGGAAATTCCTCAACATGCTAATACCGCTAATAGTGTCATATTTGGGTGGTGGGATCCCAAGTGATTTTTATATTCTTCCCGATAGTCTTCAATATTTTCCAAAATGTTTACAGTAAACATGCATTACTGTTATAATCAGAACACACAAGACAGGGGAGAGAGATTGAGAGAGAGGGAGAGAGAGAAAAGAACTTTCACATTTCACGTGTAAATGTTTATTAAAAGGACATTAGAGAGACTTCCTTGGTGTTGCAGTGGTTAAGAATCCGCCTGCCAATGCAGGGGACACAGGTTCGAGCCTTGGTCCGGGAAGATCCCACTTGGCGCGGAGCAACTAAGTCTGTGCGCCACAACTACTGAAGCCTGCGCGCCTAGAGCTCGCGCTCTGCAACAAAGAGAAGCCACGGCAGTGAGAAGTCCCCGCACTGCAAGGAAGAGTAGCCCCTGCTCGCTGCAACTAGAGAAAGCCTGCTCACAGCAACGAAGACCCAATGCAGCCAAAAATAAATAAATAAATAAATTAAAAGAAATAAAAGGACGTTAGAGACCGTGCCACGGACAAATTCAAGTCAACTTATACTGGATCTGCTAGGTCGATTTCTCCAGGTGCATAATTATCAGAAATTCGGGTGCTCCTTTTGAACGACAGGATAACTCACCCATTCACAAAATTTTAGACGAAGGGACCCTTGAGATCCCTGACAGTAACGAAGGCTTAATGTTCATCTTGCTTACCACTTGGTGCCTACCACCCGGATCAGTATATTTTTGAATGAAAGAAAAAATGAAGACCACCCCAGTCATTGTACAAATGGAGAACCTGCTTCCTGCGGAAATAAAAGGACTTAACTTGCCCAAGTTTACACGTTATCCCCATGAAGTAACACCAACAGTAGCAATAATTACAGTTACTACTACTTTCAATAAGCACCACATCTATTGCTTGACAGGCATTCTTCAAGGGCTTTACGTGCATCAACTTATTTAATCCTCATAATAACCTTATGGGTTAGGTATTGTAATTATTTTCATAAAATAGGTGAGAAAACGGAGTCACAAACTGCATCTAAATTTCATTCCCCCTTTCTTCCCCGCCATTTCATGCAAATCCTAATCACCCCAAAATTCGGCCTGAAGTCAGCTAGCTTGGATCCTTACGAAGGGATGCTCCTGGGGCATATCCGTGTGTGTTTGTGTGTGACGCGGGAAGTAGGAAGATTTTAAACACCCGCCGCCGGAAAACAATGTCCTGATGTCCTGGATTTTACTCTGGCTTCCCCCGCTCCCCCGGAGAGCCCCTCCTGGTGGGCCAAGGGGACTGGGGACGGGAGACACCACGAGGGCACCCCGGCCTCTCTCGCGTCATGAGGCTCCCCCCACTCACCTCCCCCGGGGGCCGCTCAGTCCCGCAGGAGCCGCCGGGCAGGGCCGCAGCCCCGCCCGCGCCACCTGCTCCAGGGCTCCCGCATCCCCGCCCCGCGTCCCGCCCCCGCGCCGCGCCCGCGCCCCGCGGTCCCTCCCTCCGGCGTGACGGGAGCACGGGCGCCGGCCGCCCGGGCCGCGAGCGCAGCAGAGCTGACAGCGGGCAGCCGGGCAGGGGGCGAGCGAGTGGCGAGCCGAGCGCGCAGCACTCGCGGTACGGGAGCCGGAGCGCGCCCCACTCGGGGAGGCTGCCTTCTTGCCGGCCGGCGGGCCGACCACAGCGGGACGGAGATGCTGCTCCTCCGCCCGGGGCCGACGCGGGGGAGGGGCCGGGGGCGGCCGGCCGGGGCTCCCCGCTGCGGGCTCTCGCCTCCCTGGAGCCCCGCCTGGATCTGCTGTTGGGCGCTCGCCGGCTGTCAAGCGGCCTGGGCTGGGGACCTGCCCTCCTCCTCCGGCCGCCCGCTTCCTCCTTGCTTGGAGGTGAGCCGCACCTGGTCTTTTACCTGGAGTTTGAGGGGGAGGGGCGAGGAGGGCGCGGGAGCTGTGGGGTGAGGGTCGTGCCCGTTTACTGCTCTCTGCCTCTTTCCTTCCTTGGAGGACCGTGCTTTTCGTTTGTTTCCAGGGATGAAGTTACCCGCCCCGGGAAGCTGGCCGAGAGAGGGTGTGTGGCTTTGCTGGCTTTTGGGGGGTGCGTTTCGCGCTCCTGGTGTTTTGAGGGCTCTGAAGGACTTTGCGGCGCCGTCTTGGAGTGCCAGGCTTGAGGACCTGGGGCCGAGGGAGAGCTTTCAGCAAGGGCAGGGGACTGGGGAAGCTTCGCCAGTGGGATTTGGAGACCCCTCACTTCACAGCTTTTCCAGAGAGCCAGATACGTCCGCCGAGGGCGTCCCGCTCCCCTCCCCCTCCCTCCACTCCCCAGTGTGTACAAACCCCTTCCTCCTCTTCCCCAGCTCTCAGCTTCCAGATGAGGCCCTGGGGACTTGCTAAGCCAGTGTGTGGTGTCACTTGGCATCCTTCTGGCAAAACGTGGATGTGAATTAGGAAGAAAAAAGTATTTAGGGAAGAGGTGGGTTGGTGATCTAGGAAATTAGAAAAGACAGAGTGAATATGCTCCTTTTGGGAGATGTTCATCACCTGGGATGAAGCATTGCTACTGTGTGTTTTAAAGTTTGAGATTATTGTTGATATATAGCCAAGAAAGGTAAATTATAGGTGATGTGATTTTTTTCCCTGCTTTTAGGAGAACTGGACTTAACAATGCCAAAAATTTACAAGGGGTGTCATTGGTACTTGTATTGGGTGTTTATCTTTCCCTTTAGTGTTCCAGAAAGTGCATCCTCTTAATGAAAATCAATGAAGGGAAGGAAGCAACATTTCTGACCTACTTTGAGTGATTATGTTGGGGAGGATATGAGGAGTGGTTACGGTTTTTAGGGAGATTGCTAAGAATCAGGGTGATGGGTCATTTTAATTTAACATAGCAAAATGGGTTAGCTAATAGCCCCTCTGGGAAACAAGACCAGAGCTTGTTCCTTTGTGTCACTTTTGAATTTTACCCAGGCTTGAATTATAGAATATCCGCGTTCTAGACATCGTCCATCATCCATGCATTTCACCTTCCTCTCCCATGGTCTCAGTCCCAGGACAGACTGAAATGAAAGAGAATCAGATCAAAGGCATGTGTGCGAGCACACAATAGTGTTATAATTGGGGAAATCAGGGCAAGCACTCAGTGAACAGCTGTGTTTAATTTCAGAGTTTATTAGTATAATTAGTTGTTTAATCTGTATTCTCCTATCACCTGGGAATAGTCCATTCTTCCACAGAATGCTGCTTCTTGGGCATCTTCAGAATGAATAGTAACAGGACAAACTTAAAACCTTGCCTCCAGCCCCCAGTCCCAATATGCAAAACCTATTGTTTTTTTCCTGAAGTGAAAAGTCTTAAGATTCTTGTAAAATTAATTCTTAGTATTGGAGACTCTACTTGAAACAGGTGAAAGTCAGGGCCAGTGGGGGTGATGCTTGGCCACTATAGCTAGACTGATCCTTTAGGTGAGCACATGTTCTACCCCTGTATACCCAGGCAGAATGGAGTAAGAGTCTGCCACCCGAGACAAATCTTGAAACCAGAGGCAGGGAGATGGCGGAAGGTTCTGGAAGGCTGTGTTCAATTAATTGTACTGACTTTAGAAATTGCATGCGACTCAGTTCCTTGAGGTTTCAATTTTGAATTTATGGAAATAAATAAAATATATGGGAGGATGCTCTGGAGCCTGTGTGTGACTAGTTGTGTTTTTAGAAAGGTGATGCACAGATCCAGTTATATTCTTCCTTATGACTGACAAACAGTTGGAAGATGATGGAGAGTTAGAGGTTCCTTTGGACATAGGAGGGGCCAAGGGGCTGAATCTGCTTCTGGGCATCCCGTCTAACCCACTGAGCTAATTAACAGAGTTGATCATTGTTCCTCTCTGTTTTTAAGAGGAATGTGAGAAGGGCAGGTGTTTTTCAGGTGTTGAGGGTAAGGGTCTGCTTCTGCTTACTGGTAGGGAGGGTCCTTCCTCTGAGATACAGCTATGGAAATGTGGGCCAAACTCCTGTGAGCTAAGACATAGTTAAAATAACTCTCTGGTGCCCACTCCTGCCGGTGTATCCCTTTCCCCTCTTTAGTAACAGAAAAGGACATGAATGCCCTTACAATGCCCCACGTAAGGGACAGCACCACGTGGAGGGGAAGACAGCGAAAACCGTGAAAGTGAGGGTTCTGAGGCTGGAAACTAAAGCCAACTCTTTTTCTTTTTTTCCCCCCCCGGTATGTGGGCCTCTCACTGTTGTGGCCTCTCCCGTTGTGGAGCACAGGCTCCGGATGTGCAGGTTCAGCGGCCATGGCTCATGGGCCGAGCCGCTCCGCAGCACGTGGGATCTTCCCGGACCGGGGCACGAACCCGTGTCCCCTGCATTGGCAGGTGAACTCTCAACCACTGTGCCACCAGGGAAGCCCAAAGCCAACTCTTAATAACAGGAGAGGATGTTGAAGGGAAAATCCGCAGGTAATTCTAAGCCTCATTGCTGCCAGTAGTTTTAGTCTCGTCCTCATTTATCAGTATTTTTATAAAAGTAATCACGTTTAACTAAGTTACAGGGACTCTCATTTTCCTTGCCTGGTAAGCAGCAAAAGGGGAAGGACCAGAAGCAGAGAAAATTGGCCTGGGAGAAATCTAGTTATGATTGCCTGAGTTCAGAAAAGAGGCCCTTCCAAAAGACAGCTGGGATGTGGGTAAAGTTTCCCTTAGATTCTTTGCAGAGGATTGGACTCTGGGGTGAAACTCAAATATAATACAGCTTCCTTTGTCAAAGTCATTGGATTATGGAGCTGAAAAGGGAAGAAAAATGATTACTTTGGAAGGCTCAGCTGGGGATACAGTCAGCAGGGTGGACATACAAGCACAAACAGGAAGGGGAGACGGCAATAAAAGTACAGTCAGTGTGCCAGCGGTTGAAGGACAACAATAGGATATGACTTTGATAAATGGTGTTTAAGCAAAAAAAAAAAAAAATGAGGACTGGATATCAGAAAGTACAGAATTTTCTTCAAACTGTTTATGGGGGAACTTATGAAGGATAAATATCCTCTGGGTATCTACTTTTCACTTGTAAAATGATAGTAATAAAAAGGGACCTGCCTGTCTCTATTGTGAGGATAAGATGGATGAAGATAAGTTAAAGGAAAATAAATTACACACACACACACACACACACATACACATACACATACACATATGAGATTTGATGATTGCTAGATTAGCAGACCTCGATCCTGATGTTTCAGGAAGGGTCTACAATGAGACTTCAGAGGTTCAGAGGATAGGCTTATCCAAGAGTTGAATGCAATGGAATTTTTGACTCATTGAAGAAGAGGACTTAATGGGGCTGCCAGAGGAAAAGAAGGATAAAAGCCAACAGATGAATCAGAGTTGGAGTAAGGTATTAGAAGATAGACTGCGTGAGAGAGAAGTGCATGAAAAGAACAGAACTAAGTGGATTATGTATGCATTATTTAAATTTGGAAAATTAAATCACAAACTAGCTTGATTCTTAGTGCACTTCTCTACAGTCCTGCGTAATATGATTCTATTGGTCTCTCTGAATCTTGATTCAATGATGACTTGCTTTGCCAACAGTTTTCATTCCACAGTTACTGAGCTTAAACTATGTGCCAGGTGAAATGTCAGCTGATGAGAAATTACAGATTAAAAAAATAAAATTTAATTGGCTAAGGATGAGCCAGATATGTAAACTAACATTTGCAGTGAAGTGAGATTTGGTGCTATGAGAGCAAACGGGGGCCCTAAGTCTAGTGGGGAGGATGTGAAACGGCCCTGTAGAGGAGGTGAGTGAGCCTGGAATGACGGGTAGGAATTTGCCAAGCAAACAAGGGTCAGATGTGAGGTTGCGCTGGTTTGGGGGAAAGATATTTCTGACGTAGAGCAGAGGTTGAAAATGGCAGAAGCACAGAACAGTTATGCTGTAACTAGTTATAACTGGAGTGCTGCGTGCTACGAGGAGCTTAATGAGATATGAGGCTGAGAGGCAGGCGGAAGCCTGATCATAGGGGACCTTCTGTCGTGATAAGAAGCTGGTCTTCATTTGGTAGGTGATAGGGAGCAATAGAAGGATTTAAGAGTCAGGAGTGGGCTTCCATGGTGGCGCAGTGGTTGAGAGTCCGCCTGCCGATGCAGGGGACACGGGTTCGTGCCCCGGTCCGGGAAGATCCCACGTGCCGTGGAGCGGCTGGGCCCGTGAGCCATGGCCGCTGAGCCTGCGTGTCCGGAGCCTGTGCTCCGCAATGGGAGAGGCCACAACAGTGAGAGGCCCGCGTACCGCAAAAAAAAAAAAAAAAAGAATCAGGAGTAATGCAATATACTTTAGTTAGGCAACAGTATGGAGGTCACATGAGAGGGGTGGGAAATAGAAAGAGGTGAGACCTGCCGGGAGCAATTGTAAGAGTGCAGGTAAAGGATGACAGAACCTCAGTTGATGAGCAGCAGTGAAAATGGAAAAGAGGGATGATGTTAGAAGATAGAATTGACAGTGGGTGGATGTGGAGGCTGAGGGAATGGAAGGTTCTGCCTTGTCTAGAGGATGTACCTGCACCCTCTGTGAGGAAGATGAGATAAGGAGCTTGGTTCCGGAGAGCTGACTTCTAGAGAGTTCAGTAGGCAGGTAGCAGATCCAGCTGGCTCAGGGCACGGTCTGGGCCGGTGTGGAGATACAGGAATCACTTGAATGAAAGGCAAGGTTGACACTGCTGGATTGGATGGGATCATCCAGGGAGTGAGGACAAAGGATGAAAGATAGAACTTGGGTTTTTACCAACATTAAATGGGGCAGGAACCAAGCAGCCCACAGAGGTGACATGTAAGGAATGGCAAGTTTCAGGGAAATGCAACAGTGTAGTTATGGGGGAAGGGAGAAATGCCT